TTTTAAATGTATTTCAGGAACTAGGAGCTAAAACCTCAGAACAATAAAAACAAAGACACTTCAGGTTTTTCATCTTTTATTTTCCCCAAAGCTATTTTTAAGGTTCTGTACAACTGCAACATTTCTTCCAACAACTTTCAGTGAACATTTGAAACTCCTTCATCCTCATCCTCATCCTCATCCATCATCCTCATCCATCATCCTCATCCTCACAAACAACAACAACCAGGAACAGTTTGATTGTAGAGGAAAACCAGCGGACATGTTTCAAACTGACTGCAGTGTTTAACAGGAGAAATGTGACTTCCTGTTCTGCAGACCACCAGGTTCTGCAGCTGGTCCTCCTGCAGCTGGTCCCTCTGCAGCTGGTCCCTCTGCAGCTGGTCCCTCTGCAGCTGGTCCCTCTGCAGCTGGTCCCTCTGCAGCTGGTCCTCCTGCAGCTGGTCCTCCTGCAGCTGGCCCCCCTGCAGCTGGTCCCTCTGCAGCTGGTCCTCCTGCAGCTGGCCCCCCTGCAGCTGGTTCTCCTGCAGCTGGTCCCTCTGCAGCTGGTCCTCCTGCAGCTGGCCCCCCTGCAGCTGGTCCTCCTGCAGCTGGCCCCCCTGCAGCTGGTCCCTCTGCAGCTGGTCCCTCTGCAGCTGGTCCCTCTGCAGCTGGCCCCTCTGCAGCTGGTCCCTCTGCAGCTGGCCCCTCTGCAGCTGGTCCTCCTGCAGCTGGTCCTCCTGCAGCTGGTCCCTCTGCAGCTGGTCCCTCTGCAGCTGGTCCTCCTGCAGCTGGTCCTCCTGCAGCTGGTCCTCCTGCAGCTGGCCCCCCTGCAGCTGGTCCCTCTGCAGCTGGTCCTCCTGCAGCTGGCCCCCCTGCAGCTGGTCCTCCTGCAGCTGGTCTGAAGGAGGTCTTTTTCCATGTGAACTTTAATAAAAGGAGCTGTTAAAGATGGACTCGGTGCAGACTGGTCCTGTTCCTTTAATGACTGAACATCTGTCAAAGATCCAAAGTCTAAAGTGCTTCTAGAAGAAAAACAGCCAAAGAAACAGGCTCCACAAGGAGACCAGCTGAAACTGTGTCCAAACACCTGGTTCTGGACYGGTTCTGACCCATTTGAAAGAAAAGATTGTTTTTCTCTCAGACTAAAATCTCTTCAGGAATAATAAAAAAAAACTTTAAAAATAAAAAGTGTCAGTTTGAAGGTTTTCCTCTGTGGACGTCTCCTGACTCGTCTCTGTCCTCTGAGTGTCTCTGTCCAACATGTCCCTCTGTCCTCTGAGTGTCTCTGTCCAACACGTCCCTCTGTCCTCTGACTGTCTCTGTCCAACATGTCCCTCTGTCCTCTGAGTGTCTCTGTCCAACATGTCCCTCTGTCCTCTGAGTGTCTCTGTCCAACATGTCCCTCTGTCCCCACCTGCCTCAACATTTACAACAACAACAAATAAAGTTTGTTTCACAACATTCTGTCCTCTCACTGCATCCAGCATGGAGACACGGGTGTCCAGCATGGAGACACGGGTGTCCAGCATGGAGACACGGGTGTCCAGCATGGAGACACGGGTGTCCAGCATGGAGACACGG